ACCTTTCGAAGCGCAAAGTTTATATTAAAAATTTGGAGAGAATAGTATACTTGCCTATATAACAAGTACCAGCCTAACAGAATGTATGGTATAACTATTTGTGTTAACATTGTTTTAACTCGTTATCAAAAATATGTTAAATATGATTCGTAATATTTTTAACATATTAAATAATATATTGCAAATAAATATGTCAAATATATTATAATATAATGTATCAAAAATATGTATTTTATATTTAAATTGTTATGTTTTTATTGTATGTTGAGAATATGCTAAAAAGAATTATCTAAATATTCTCATTTTCTTGTTATATTAAAAAAGAAAATATCAGTGTTTATAAAAATTTCTGTATTGTTAAGTTGTATCATTTAATTTAACATAAATGCATTTAATAAAGTTTATATTTACCTGTATCTTTTTCAAATGTCTTGCGCCATATCGATATAACAATCGAATAGTAGATAGAATTTAGTCAATATTAGAAAATTACCGAAACCTGAAAAAAGAAAAAAAAACTTTATGTTAATAATATTTTATATTAATAAAATCAAAAGAGTTTTAAAATTACCTCACCACCTGAAACCAAATGTTCAAAGATAAAATCTAAAATAAAGAAATATTATATTTGTAGCTACCCTTTATGAACCTTAGTAAAATTCTAAAGCCGAACCTACAAAAGAAGAAACAAGAAATATTAAATATATTTCTATAAAATAATCAAAAAAAAATAATATTTCATAAGTTTCGTATGAAATTCACTATTTTAACGTAGAGGAAACAAATCTTACAAAAGAAGAAATAAGAGATATTTAGAATGTGTTCTATTAGATTAATCAAAAAAAAAATAATATTTTGTACATTTTGTCATACAAAAATTATCGTTTTCAGTATCCAGTACTAAACGAAATTCAGAAACCTACAAGAAATAAAAAAGAAATATTAGAAAAACGTTCCTAATTAAAAAAAAGCATATTTGTAAGTTTCACGAAGAAGCTTATCATTTTCAAACTTCCTACTTGATTGAAATTCTAAAAACCTTTTTCAATAAAATAATTTATTTAAAAATTTAAATTTCATAAAAAGTTAAGTGTTAAAATGTATTTAACTGTATTAAAAAGTTAAATAAAACTTGAATTAAAAGTTTAATAGAAATAAACTGCAGATACGGCTGCGACTTATCTATCATATAATACATGTAATATTAGGGTGGAAGATAGATCAAAACTATATGTAGTCCTTATGACAATTTACTATTGATCGAAGTTTCCTAATAAATTAATGTATTTTCGCATCTTTATAACTTTGAATTCTTCTTTGATTTTTTTTTCAAATACTGTGAAGATGTTCCAAATAGGTCTTATTTATGTGATATCTTTCTTTTTTTCTAAAAAAAGTTTCACAATTTGGAAATAATAAAGAACTATTTTAAGAACTATCTTTCTATAAAAAAAATTTTTTGTGTTTCAAAAAAAAGCGAGCTATACCATTATTCTTAAAGTTATTATATGTCTATTTATGCTTTTAATATTACCCAAATATTCTCAAAGAATAAGATCAAATTTTGAAAATTGGGATTTTTTTTAATGGAAAAGAAGTAATACTCAATTTGGCATCATACAAATTGATGATAAAAACATCAAACAATAACAAATGTTCATAAGGACTACATATAATTTTGATTTAATTAGTTAATCTGCTACCACAACGTGATATTTTAAAAGTATATAACCTTTTATTTCATTTTTGATTTTATTTCTTTTAATTTAAATTTATTAAATTTTAAATTATAATTTCAGCTGAAATTTTTTTATTCTTATGAAAAGCCCTCTTCTATGAATGGGTAAAGATCTTTTAGCACCTATAGGAGAAGAGCTATTGCCCATTCATAGCAACAAAGGAAGGATGTCTTCAGAGTAAGATATGTTAAATACTAAAAAATTAGGTGTAAAATTTAGTCTAAAAATAAGGGTTTCAGCAAAGTTTATTTTCCTTTTGCAGATTTTAAAATTTTAATTTTAAAAATTTCAAATAATAGATTGATTAATCAGGCAAACTCCAACTGCGTTCTCTAATATGATATGTTAATATTTTTATAATATTACAGTTATATATTTAAAAGATTGCAAACATACTGTATTTCGAAAATATTTTATTAATTATTTTAATTTATGTGCTATAATTTTTTATTTCATTAAGTTAATATTTAGTATAAATTTATATCTAAATTCGAAATGTATTACAGATCTGTTTTTCACGTTAAAATATTTTGACTATACATCAAACATTTAATTGCTATCAGTTAGTGATGTTTATTATATTTATGAAAATTGAAGGTTTCTGTAAAGTTGGCATTGTTAAGTATTCAGCCGTATTGTCTAGGTATGTATAATTCCTCAGCTACAACTACAATGGTTGACAATAATAACAATGATAATAACAACAATGGTGATGAACCTGTCCCACACTATGTCCCAAATGTCCTATCATCTATGTCCCATGATAATACTGCATAAAAGTATATTTTTTCCCTTAATAAAATAAGTTCTGATGTTGATGTGATGAAGCTGATAAGCATGATGTGTCGAAACTATATCTTTAACAATGTCAAATAAAATCATTGTGTTAGAACCATATATTTATAATTCAAATTCAACTAAAAATTTATATTTTATAAAAAATATAGATATTCTTTTTAATAATTTAAAAAAATATCTAATGATTTATAATATAGGTAATTTTTTTTATTAATTTATATTTATTAGATTATTATTATGGTAATTCAAACTCAATATACTCAATATTATTTTTTAAAAAAAAATGGATATAGATAGTAAGTTATAATTAAGCTTTTTTGTAATTTAAGTTTTTGCTTTTGTAGCTATTGTATAGTATTTACTTTAAAATTACTTTTGACCATAAAGTGTTCCGTCTTTTTTTTGAGAAATTTTAATCCGTTTCATCAATTATATCCTACTTACAAAGAACGATGCAAGCATAAGTAATTAAACTTGATTTTATACAAAATATAAAACTTTGTTATTTTATTATTATTGAATTGTCGACTTTTTATCATTACTTCAATTAAATTGATACCGCTCAAAAAAAATACGAAAATCTGAGAATGATATTTTCTCAGTATGGGGAATTTTTCAATATTGTGAAATAATTAAGATTATTGACAAACCAATTATCTGCTAGCTATCACCAAAAAAGTAAACATTGAATTTGATTAGGGAATAATTAAAAAAAAAGAATTAAACTCTGAGGTAATTCATTTAATAAATTTGTATAATTCGTCTAATTTTAATTGATCATGGTCTTATACTTCATTTGTTTTTTTTAATTAAATGTGTGGTTCATGACCATAATTTAGAAAATATAAATATTTAATAAGCATCCTCTTTCATATTAAATCTAAAATTAATAAAGGGCAATAGACATCAAATATAATGTAATGGAAAGTATTTCCAAGTTTACGGAGCTCATTTGTAGACCTCCTTCACCTGATGGCGTAACAAATTTCTAATTAGTTCAGAAGCTATCAGCAACCTCATCAAAGATATCGAAGCTTTGGGAATCAATAAATCCGTCAAAGATATGGTTTTACCTCATATTGCTCGTCTTGGGTAATAACTGTGATATGACTCCCAATTTCAAGTAATTTAAAATTGAATTCAAAGCCAGTTACATTTCCTTAATTGTTCCTTCTCTTTTAATTATAGTTGGAAATGATAAATAGAGCAGATTATGTCAAAACTTCCATCTAACAGTAATCTCTTTGTGAAATAAAGAAACTTTAACTTTTAATATCGGCTCTATAGTCAGATATTTCAAAACCATTGATGTTTACAAATAATTTTTATCATTCACGCATATATCCTGGAATTAGAAATTTTAATTCATACTATTCAAGAAATGTTCGTATTGATCAATCCACCCCTTTGAATGTTTCCGATCCGGAAACTCTATTTGACACCATAATGGTTCAAACAAATTCAAACCTCATCCTTCATCAATTAGTTCAATTTTATTTTACTTGGTAACCATTATCACACACGATCTGTTTGATTTTCGCCGAATGAACTATACATTAAGGTTGGCGGGCAAAACCTGAAGGTTTCGACAGGCATCGAAATTGAAACGTTTGCCAAATTTTTTTAATTGCAAAAATTTCGACGGTGGCAAAATTTTCGATTGATGAAAAAACTCATCGAAACCTTCTGACATTAAAATACAATTTTTGAAATTTAAAAATTTATTATTTTGTTTTTAAGAGATGAGCAAATCGTATATAGCAGGTCACTTTCTTTTGTTTTAATTTTATAAAAGATAAGAAAATTAAATATAGTTAAAGTAAATTAATTCTTTATCAAGTTCAATTATCATCTTTCTCCCAATTAGTATTTTCTTCATTTATACTCATGACAGTATACCTATCTTCTTCTTCATTAAACTTTCTTTTGAAAATCATCATTCTCTTCATAAGGTAATCCTTCTAATTATTCAACAAGTTTCTATGCTTCCAAATTTAAAACTTGCTCGATAAACAATGTGCGAAATAGCAATGGTCGGGAGAATATTACAAATTAAAAAATTAAATATTTTGGATTATATATAATATATTTCTAAAACTGTGAACTGAAATCAAAAATTTTCTAAAAAGACAAAACAGAAAGCATGGTTACTTGACAAATCTACTCAATCTCAGCTTTGAAAAAAAGTAGGTGTCCCATTTTATTCTATTAAAAGGCCACGCACATTAACATTTTTGGTTCACGTCACCAACCAAAAAATGTTTATATGTAAAAAATTTATCACGTGACTTCGAAGTATAATTCATTAACACTGTTGTATTCAATTCTTTCTGCCTGTGAAACATGAAATTTTTAATAAAATTGCTAATGATCGGCAGTGATAATTGCAATATGTAAAATTGCCTCGCGTCAGAATCTCTTTTTTCTTGGGATTATTATTCTTTAAAAACCTATTTTGCAATAATGAGTAAATATAAACAATATGATGTTTTGTTAATAACAGCAAGAAAATTGGATGAAGAATTACATTTTGGAGTATTTGGACGTTTTTGGTGGCAATCATGTAGCCACGAGGATAATACTTTATTATATCCTGTACGCTTAGGATGAAAACTCTTGTTACACTTAAGGAAACCAACTTTATAATTACCGTAGTCAAAGGAAATTTGAATTTTATCTTTCGGCCTGGTTTTGTTTATGAAGCAAATGGTATTACAAGTTCTATTAATGATACTTCTTCTGGAGCAATAAACTCTTTATATTCAACATTATTCAATTCAAAAACAAGATTTTCTGGTCCATTAATATGTGGTTATAATAATAGGAAAATTACCAAAGAAATTATGAATGATGTTCCTTTTCAACTATTTATATTAACAATTGGTAAATTGCAGGTGTTTATAGGAATTATGAGAGTTTCTGATTGTAAGGTTTTAAAATATGTAGGATTGAAATATATGTCATCTTTTATTTATCAAATTGGAAAAATACAAACATTATTTGTACAAAGGATTTATCATCATCATTGTTCAATAACCTTATACCAGAATGAACAAATATAGTGGTAGTAATCCTAATGAAGTTTGGAAAGAACTTTGGAATAAATTCAATATATTACAAAATTGGAATGGAAAAACTTTATTTGATATTAATCATGAAAAAACTTAAAATTTAATAAATAGCCTCTGAATACCTTCTTGTATAATTAATGAATGGAATAATAAAATTATGATGATACAATTATATAAACATCATTTACACAAATTTACAATTGCTGATGTTTCTTAGTATGAATTTTTACTCAATTGGAAAAAAGAACAATGTAATATAATAGAATTATATGGTACTCTTAAAACTATCTATCTGGAAGAATATCAATTTAAGAAAGAGAATTTCGTACTTAGAAAGTGGTATTACATAGTATTAGATGCACTAATATTACACCATTTAATAAAAATGAATCAGAAGTAAGAAAAATATTTTTTCTAGAAAAAATTTTGAATAAAGCTGAAAATCCAATTGATGATAAAAATCTCCTTCTTTATTTATATAAAAACAATTTTCTTAATATATCTATTTTAAATGAATGTTCTAATTCAAATGTAGATAAATTGTGATCTTATTTTAATGAATCTTTAAAAATAAATAAAGGAGGAATTGATGGAAAAAGAAGAATTTTATCAATAATTGCAGATGATTTTTTATATGAAAAAATTAGAACAAATTTATCAGTAAGTTATTTTAACTTATCTAATTAATTATATTTTTAATTATAATTTTTTTATTTATCAACTTTTAATATAAGTTGCTCTAAATACAATTTTCAATGCTTGTAAATATGCTAGGTTGAATGGTCCTAATACTAATCAAATTGAAAAACCTATAAGAACAATAAATAAACTATCACAAGAAAAATTAGAACAATTCTGTAATTTTTTTAAAGATTAAGCAAATGTTATTATATCTTCTTATAAAATAGATACTAAAATCCAAATACCTATTCTTTATTTGAAAAATACAAATAAAGCACTTTGGGAAAAATTTTACAAAATATATCTAAATGGTTTAAAAAGAATAACTTTTATTGCTAATTAAAAGGGAATTATTATCAATATTAAAAAGATATAGGAGAACTTTGCATTATCTGTAATATTTATAAATATAAAGTATTTAGAAATCTGAAAGATTTTATTCAAAAAAAAATTAGTTCAATGGAACTTCAGGTAAAATTAAACTAAAAATCAATATATAAATGTAAATAAAATACTTACTTTATATTCTATATTATTTTAGCATAAATTTATTCAATGTGTTAAAAATTTATAACGTTATCTAAAAAGATCATGTGAATAAAAATTTAAAGTATTAGAAAATAGAATAACTAAACATGATTCTTGCATCAATTATTGTTTATTGTATACTTTTAGAACTTGTGATGAATTACATACTCAAATATGTAATAAATGTTAAGAATTATTTACTTTTTTTTAATGATCTTAAAGAAATTATCAACTTAACTTCTTATAATAATTTGACAAACTATGAAAAGAAACTTATTTACTACCTGTCTTATCAAACAAGAAAAGTTTATTTAAATCCTCAATTTAATATAACAATAATAGAATTAGATAAAAAAGAAGCTATTCTATTAGTAGATTATAAAATGAAAATCTTATCACAAACTGTAAGATAAATCAAATAGAATTTTTATAGTACAAAAGAATAATTTCTATATTTTATTTTAGTTTATACAAATCTATTGAAAATAATCAAATCTGTATTGAAGCATTTAATTACTGGTTATATGATTCAAAGTAAGATGTATAGTTCATAGCTTCATCTTTATATAGTGTAATTGAAGCTCTTAATGAAAACCTGAATAGATAAGTATTATTTAAGATAATGATCTACATTATCATAATTCTGAGTTGATAATAATATTAAGTTATTAGAAAGAATAGTATAATATAAGAGTAAATAAGTGGATATTTTTAGAAGTGGGAGAATCAAAAACTGCTATTAATTCAAATCATATACAGGTATAATAGTTTACTTACTTAAATTATTTAAATTAATGATTGAATTATTTAGATTTCACATTCAATTAAAAGGCAAGTTAAACTTGGATTTGAAATGAGAAATGGTGAAAATATTCAAGAAGCAATTAAAAACATTGCTAGAATTTATGTAGCTCATTTAGAACTTTATAGAGATGATGATAAATTTATTTTGTTAAAAACTAAATTATTTAATATATATACTATATATTTAACATATTATCTAAAATAACAAAAAGAAAATAAAGGAGATAAAATAAAAACAATTCCTGAAATTTCAAATTATTTTGAATAGAGATGGCTGAATGAAGAAGAATTAGATAAATGTATACAAGTAAGAGCTTAACTCATATTAGTAAATGAAAAACCTTTACACTAAATCAAATATCTAATTGGATAAAAGATAGAATACATATGATATAGTCATAAATTTCATCACATACTACTCCAAAATCTTCTTAGAAAATCCTAATATCACATAATTCAAATAAGTATTAGCATTAGTAATTATGTTATATAATAAAATTAACATAAAAATATATCAAGTTTTGTTCTCAGATGTTAATGTAAAAAAGCTAAAGGTGAAACAATTGCAAGAGGAGTTAGAAAATTGAGAAATAATAACAAATAAAAAAGAAAGTCACGTAAAAATAATAAAAATGTTAGATTATAAGATGGTAAAAGAAACACAGACTAAAAAAATCAGTAGATTTTAAAAAGTGATTTTTATTTTATAAAAGATTCAAATAATAAATTTTTATTATAGATAGTAGTAATACATAAATATCAGAAAGAATACTAAATGATATTACTAATATATCATAAAATAAGTAAGAAATTATATAAAAATCTAATGCTATATTGTCAATCTTAACTGATAGTAATCTTACAGATGTAAATGCATTTCCTTTGTTATGTGATTAGACATTAAAGTATAACTAAAAATATGGTAAAAAAGATTCAGAAAAAAGAATTGCTTTACAAGTTATAACACTATTAGAATGTTTCTTTTTGGATGGTAATATTTATAAAAATAAAAGAATGAGTGGAAATAATATATAGGATAAACTAGTTGAGAAATAGAAACATGATGAATTAGTGCAAAATGTTGAAATTCTAGAAGTATTCTCTATAAATAATTGGATAATAAGATTTGCTATCTAAAAAGAACTTATCTGAGCAAGCTATAGCTAGATTTTCAAAGTTTAAAGCAAAATTACTATCTTATACTGTTTTAAAATATCAGTAAAATACTGAGAATCTCACATTTTAACAAAGTTTAAGTCAAAATTTTTTGTATAAAAATTTCAATTAAATTTATAATACAAAAATCCAAGTTTGATTATATTATAACAAGGGTTTTTTTTAATATTACACTATTAAGTAGTACTTTAACATTATCAAACTTTATTGCAATTCTATACATTTTATTATATGATCGACATAAATTTCACCAAATTTATGTAATGATTTTTTACAGTTTACTGTAAATCATAAATTAATCATTTTTGCCTTAACTCAGCTCTTTACAATTTATTGTTATTAACTCAAATAATTGCTAATTATTAAATGCTAATTAATTAAATTACACTAAAATAATAAATGAAAAATAAAATAAATAAAAATATTAAAACAATAAGTCAAACAAAATTTATGAATTTTATGAAGTTAAAATTACGAAAGTGAATATTGCAAGGAAAAAAAGGAAAGAATTAAGGTATATGTATAAATAAAGGAAAATAAAATATACTAAAAAGAATTTAAAGAACTTGCCAAAATTTCAAGTGACTTAAAATATAAATATTAAAAATTTTAATTAGAACGACTTGCATTCTAACAATATAGTATCCTAACAATATAGTCAAAATTGATTAACCAATATGATTATAAATGAAAATTATGATTTTTCAGATAGAATGTATTAATACAAATAAACACTGATTGACTTATAATCATAGTTCTCATCATTTTTTGATTTACTTGATTTTTTATACTTCTTTTTTAATTCTCTTTTTACTTTTGGAAATGATTATAAATAATTAATTCTTAAAAGTTAACTAATTATATCATTATAATTTTACATATAATATTTTTTTATTAATAAATAATAAATCCTGTGTTTTTAAAATTTTAAAGTTACATAAACTGAAATACTAATTTTCCTGATGATTTTATATCAGAAGCATTTTTGTATTATATCATATTATAATAAAACTCAAATAAGAAATAAAAATAAAAGAATTTATATCTAACGCTAATATGACTGAATGACTGTGATGAGATTCAATCTGATTGTCACTTTTGATTGCTTAATAAAATTTTAAAATTAATTAGTTTTATTAAATTAAGTATATAATAAGTTAAATTTTATCACTATTAATTCTTTACCTCCTATTATACAATTATTTCATTTGATCTTGTATTAAAGGAGCATTAGCATTACTATGTTAAAATATTAATATTTAATATTATAATATCATTTAAGGTTTTTTTTTAAGGTAAGGTTACTGAAAATTTAAATATTTTCAAATTAGTTATACTATTCTGCCACAATTACTTTTTTATAAACTATACTAATTTTGGATCAAATGTGTATACCTGATAGTTAAATAATTCTTTATTCATTTGATTATGAATTTAATCTTTCAATTAGATAATACTTTTATAATTTAATACTATGAATAAATAATAGTTATTTACCACAAGATATGAGATATCTTAGCTGTCATTTTTTTTTCTAATAAGCATATTATATGACTTATTAAAATAAATATTGGCAAATATTTATAGAATTGGTAATAAATAAATTTCATGATTCTAGTAATGCATTATTTGTTTAAAATAATCAATTTTAACTTTAAAAATTGCAATTTACATTTAATTAAAATAAAGAATATCCTGTATTTTTTGAGTTTATTTATGCAATAGTAACTACTCATATTTTTCTCATTTGATAATAATAAGAATAAACTTCTTCCTCTTTTTCATATTTTGTTGTCTTCTATTTGCAACATATAAATCATAAAATAACTTCACATTCTTTTATACAACTGAAAAAATGCATTTACATCTAAACCATCAAGTCAAATAATCAATATATTACTTTTTTCTTTTTCTATTCTCTTTTATTGTATTTTAAAAACTTATATTTATTAATTATTTAATAAAATTTTGCATATCGTTACATTTTGTTTTTTATAAAGATGTCTAATATCATTTTAAAAGCTGCCAATTATATTGTTGATACTTTTACTTTTACTCTTATTATCTTTTTCTAAATAAATTAAAATAATGATTATTATCTCATTCATTAATGTTATATTATTTATTATAATATATGATTAAAATCTTTCTTATTGAATAAAATTTCTAAAATTTCTTTTCTTTCTGGATTCTTTAGCAGAATATCTTATTATCTAAGGTATTTTTAACTAATACTTTTATTTTATTCATAAATTAAGTAATAAACATTTTTTTTAATCCTTTAACATAATAATTTTATTCTCAGAATTTACAACTTTAGAGTTTTTCTCTTTCTACTAGTATATGGAAATCATTTGCTATTAAAAACTTTTCATTTTTCTATAAGATGAGTAAAAACTTAAAACTCTCACTTTTACTTAAGCTTAGTGATAACCTTTTTTATAATACTTAAAAACTAAAATTTTATCCATTAATTAATAATCCAATAATAATAATAATAAAATAACATTTCTTTAATTTTAATTATCTCAGCATCTAGTTATCCATTTGAGATAAAATATATATTATTATAATACTCTTAAATTAATAAATACATTAATACTATTTTTATGAAATTATGATCAGTAGATCATGAGAAATTCACGTCTGAGATCTGTTTATTCCAATTGGATCTCCTAAATTAATGAAGAGATTAATATTTTCTAAAGCATTTTCTGATTCTATATAAATATTTATCCTAAACTTGATAAGATTAGCTTTATCACTGTAATATTTAAATAATTTAAACCTTTTATTGATCTTACGAAAATTAAATGTCCTATAATTTTAATTGGTACTGAAGAAGATAAACTAATTGATTTAAAAATTATAAAAGAAATTTCTATTAAGCTTAAATGCTACATTATTAGAATAACAAAGCTTATTTGCTAATAAGAAGTTTAAATCAGAAACTATAAAAGAAATAAATACAAAATTAATTAAATTAATGGGTCAGATTGTCTTTATTAATAATTTATATTTTAAGGAAATAAATATTGGCAAAGTTATAAGTTTTATGTGGTTAAAATTATATTTTATTAAATTATAATATAGAAACTTAAAAACTTATTTTTTTGTTAAAGTGACATTATAGGATATTTATATATAATACAATTATAAAAAAAAGATATTTAATAAAATAAAGAAAATAAATATAACTATAATAATAAATATAATAATGATAATAATGATAAACATTATAAAAATTATAATAAATATCACAATAATAATCATGATAGTTATGAAATCAATGAAAATGATAATCACAGTTTTTTTGGTGATTATTGATGACCTTTATTAATGCAATTATCTAGTAATTCATATGGATTATCACTAATACTACCAATATTTATGGTGTTAAATTTGATATTATTATTAAAGATATAGACTCACAGTATTATGTTATACCTTATATGTAAGGATGCTTCTAGTGTAATTTTCAATAAAATTTAAGAAAAAGTTGTAAACAAGAAATAATAATCTTATACCTAAATATGCTTGATTTTTTGATAAGTATAATTGAAGTAGTTTTAACTAACTACAAATTAAAAGTTATTAAAAATATAGTGCTAGATTAAATTATATATTGTAGATTAATAATATTTGAAAAAAAAGAATGTTTAATTTTCTAATATAAGATTTCTTCTTGTTTTAAATTTTTTTTTACAATTATTTAATAATTCTGTTAAGATAATAATTTAATAAAAAATCTATAAATATAGTGATAATACCTAGTAAATTGACATCTACACTTAAATTAATTTTTTTTCAAAATTTTTGCAGAGTTTTCTAAATATAAACATTTTTCAATGTTTCAAAATTATTCTAATTGTTTTATTCTTTGAATCATTTTACAAAAACAGCCAGCAAAGATTACTAGTTCAAAGAAAGTTATTTTATATAGAACATTCGTTAGGCCATAATGAAAGTGATTGCTATGTATTGTTCCTTATTGTTGTCAAAGGTATCTATTTGAAGAGTTAGTGTCTCAAAACTAAAATTTTTATAGAACACATAATTTTCAGCCTAATCGATTTTCATATTAGATTTATGATGAGATTTTGATATTTAAAACATTAGAAAAAAAATATTTCTTGAATTAACTTAGCATGTTTAGAGCATGTTCAAGTTGATCATAAGTCCTATAAATTTATAGAAGAAGCTAATCCCATATATCTTCTTAATATGTATCATTAACAAATATTTATTAATAAAAACTAAATTTATTCTTTTCAAACCTTTCTTTATAAAGTTGAATAAATTGTATTATTCTTATCTATTTATAATAAAGTCATCTCTGTTAAAAATATTTTTGTTAGTATAACCTAACATCAAATTTTTTTGTTACTTTGTTTCAATCTTTGTGATAAAAAAAAAATTTTCATTTCTATAAAATAATTTTATATCTCACTTTAAAATAAATTCCTCATACAGGTAAATCATGATTGTACTTGGAATCTCATGATAATAAGTAATGAATGAGATACAAGTTGCTTTTATTTTATACTTTAAAATATAGTTTAAATTTTATTACACTAATTTAATATGTCAGATGTAAATCAAGTGCCATGAAAAATTTAAATTTGGCTTATCATTTATATTGAACGCAATACCTAATACTTTTGAATTATTGGTAATGAATCTTACCCGATTTATCATTTACATTAACAATTGGAATAAGTGCTGAATTTTTTGTATAAATGTTTTCACTTTCAAATTTATTAGTTTTCTTTTTCATAGAAATTTAATTTGGGACAATGATTTTTATTCTTGATAATATGATTCATTGTATAAACATGGATGACATAAGAACAAATCCTATTGAGTAGTTGAAGATGTAAGAATAAGGTTCGATTCATTATTTTTAATTAAATAATATTAAAAACTCAATATATAAAATTAAATGCACAAATACGTTAAGTTAACAGGATTGCTGTTCATTAATAATTTGGTTTATTTTTTCTTATACCTTTATATACTTTACTAACGCATCTAATAACTCTTTGAATAGTGTAAAATGAAATATATCAATAACCATTGTTTATTATATTTGTGTTTTTGCGATAAAAAAAAGAAAATTTAAAAAATTAATTTTTGGAACAAAACGACTCTTAGGGCCGGTTATAGACATGTCAAAGAGAGAAAGACAGTATTTTTGGTCCGGACCTGACCGGTCTGTCCTTAAAAAGATCATTCAGAATCGACTAATCGCGATTTTCGTTTCTCAAGATTTGACTCTAAGATTCGATTTTCGATTTTCGATTATCGAATATAATCGATCGATCCATTGAGTTTTGTGCTTGAGAACACCTAAATTGATTAAATTCGAAAAATAAAATCAAATAAAAAATAAGGGAAATTCTTATACTGGTATATACGAATTAAAAAATAATTAAAAAATGTTAAATTAAAATATTAGAACCCGCGATTATAAAAAAAAATTTTTTAAAATAAATTACAAAATTAAAATAATTAATTAAAAAAAATGAACATTCCTCAGCGTTTTTTATTTTTTTTGAATATTTAATATTCGCAATTTTTTTTAGTTTAGGTAGAATTAAAAAAAGAATTCATTCTAAAATAAATTAATAAATTAAAAAAATCAATTAAAAAATCAATTAAAAACATTAAATTAATAAATAATAAAAAAAAACGAAATTAAATAAATAACTTACATTTAAAAATCATTAATAAAAATATATTACATTGTTAAATCAATTTACAATCCTTTTCTTAAAAAAAAAAAAATGCCGATAATCATTGTACATGTGTTTAATTCTAAAACAGTATTTGAATGGGAAGAGCTTAGTGTTAATGAGGATATGAATATAATGAAAATAGGAGGAGAATTTTTAAAGATGTTGTAGTTTATAAATTAAAGTCAGAACTATGGGAAAGAAAAAATTAGGTTGTTTGTATTACATGCTTTCTACAATTGATCATAACGCTTGACATCAAATGTTTCAATATTATAAATCGATTCTCTCTACAAATATTATTATTATTTGAAATCCAAATTTGTTTTGCAATTTTAGATGAACCTTAAAATCCTCAGTTCGACCAGACCGAGAGATAAGTATATTTTTGAATCAGGCCACACATTAAAAATGATGTCTTAGTTTCAGATTTCTTAAAAGGTTTAGAAAACTTCAATTCAATCATCTATGTAATGTAAGAGAGATATTTAATTCTTATAATTTACTTTTAAGAAAATTGTTGTATATTGAAAAATAGAAAATATTATAATAACGATAAATGCAAAGCAATTATATTAAATGAAGTTTAAACTAGTATTTCTACTTTTTTTTATTTTTTAAATGTGGTTTACTAATAAAATCACGTACGGATCTTATAACTTATTTTGACTCAAAACTTGTTTTAACCTGAAGAAAAAAAAATTATATATTTATTTATTCTAGCTAACAAAGAGTTTTTTGTATATAATAATATATACGAATAAAAAACACAATTAATGTAATGTTAAATGTAATCGAGTTAACATTCGAATATTTATTAAGTGATGAAATTCTGAGATGGAAAAAAAATGGAATACTTATTTTTTTAATAAAAACATTAGGTTTTATATAAACTAATTTCGAATTATGATTGATATGTCCATTTTCGAAAAACTTCTATGAAATTTGATATTTGGCAATTAGAAATTAAAATTTAGTATATATTCCATAAAATCAATACATTATTGATTACTTTGATTACATTAAGTTAAGAATTTTCCTCCTCAGCCCAATCCGCTGGATTTATATTTATCATCAATGAATCATCAATGCAAGTTCTTGATGAAATTACTGTGCTTTCTGATGAAAGTGTTGAAGAAACTAGAGAGCTTGAGCTTGCTGATGCTGATGAAAGAGTTAAGGAATCAATTGTATCTGACATCGAAAGTGTTTGAAAGAATTTCCGAAAATAAGGATTAATAATTAGTAAAAAAAAAAAAAAAATGCATAAAGTTACTTTACCTTCATTTTCAATTAACTTCTCCAATACCTCATAAACATATTCAACAGTATGTCTTTTTTCAGGTTCATTATCCCAACATTTATTATATAACTCATAATATTCATTAGGAGTCTCTTGCACTCTTTCTTGCTTATTTCCTGACAAAATTAAATGATGATATTCAAAAGGAGGTTTACCGCTTGATATTTCCCATAATAATACTCCTAAACTATAAACATCAGAAGATTTTGTATAAGGACCCGCCATTAAAACTTCGGGAGCAACATATGGAAGTATACCAAATATACCGTCATGTAGATTTGTTACTGTACACATACTTTTTGAATTACCAAAATCCGTAATTTTTGCTTTTCCATGATGAACTAATATATTTTTAGCATGCTAGAAATGAAATTTATTATTAGCAAAACAACAATAAAATGTAATAAATAGAATACAATAATTCTTAAATTTACTTACGAGATCTCTATGCAAAATATTTTCTTTATGCAAAAAATATAATCCATTTGTAATATCTAAAGCCAATCGAAGTTTTTTATTCCAATCAAGACTCAAAAATTTTTTTGAAAGATACTTTCTTAAATCCCCTTCATTAGCACATTCCATAACGATACAATAGTCACCATCTAAACCTAAAATAATATAAGTTGTTCAAGTGTGCTAAAATAAATGAATATTAAATCTCAAAACTTACTTTTACTTATTCCTAAAACTCGGATAATATTTTCACAAATATGTGCTCTACTTTGTAATTGTATTTCATGTCTAAATGCTTCCCACTTCTTATATTTAATATCTGATGTAATAAATAATTTTTTATATGCTACATGTTTATGAGTTTTAGACCAATATGCTTGATGCACTAATCCAAAATTTCCTGCTGATAACTTTTTATGAGAATTAAATTCGGACCATGCTATTGATTTAATAACTTTTCGTTTAATCGAATCTTCAATCCATTCCTTTGCTTTATTTTCTAATTCATCAACGGATTCAGCCTGTGATATGTAAATATTTTTTGGAACTAAACTTTGAGAAAATCCATTTTGTTGGTAACTACCAGTTAATTCATTAAGTTCATTGAAAATAGTGGGAAAACTTGAACGCTCCCGTGAGTCATGATGCCAATCTAAGTAAAAAATTTTTTAATCTAATACCTTTCTTTTTTGAAAAATATTTTTAATATTATATTAAGCTTACTATTTTTAATGATTTCAAAATATTTTTCTTGAAAACTTTCATCATTATTTGATCTGCTTTCTAATGTCTCCCTGTCCTTGTTTAGAACATGATTCTTTATTTTACGTACATTCCAACCTTGATAAGGAACTTTTTCAAAGGCAAGCTCCCACATTAACATACCAAAGCTACAAATTAAAATATATTGTATTAATAAAGGTTATAATTTATGTTAACAAAAGGAGCTTGCAAATACCTAAATGCTTCACATTTTACATCATATCGATGAAATCTAAAATATTTAATTTTTTCTGGGGCCATCCAATTAATAACATCGTCTAAATTTGGTATTGATTCATAAAAGGTTTTTTTAGGTTTAGAGACCCCATCGAACATTATATGTGCGCATTTAAAATTTGTAATTTTAGGTTCTAAACGTGCTGTAATCATAATGTTTGCGCAACGAATATCATGATGAAGAATAGAACAAGAATGCAGAAAAATGATGCCACGACAAATACCAAGAGCAATAGAAACCTAAATAAAAGAATAAAAAATTTTTATGAATATATTTTTTAAAAAAAAATTATACATTACTTACCTTTGTAGTCCATGAAATATCATATATATTATAAACATCACAAAGGTTTCTTAATTCAGCCCATTCAAATATCGTTACCAATTGATCATCAATATGGGAGAGTCCATAGAATTTCAAAATGTTATCAGAGTAACGAAGTTTTTCTAACATAGTAAAATGAGCTATAGTTTTCATGAAATCATCATCTTGGATTATAGTGGGAGTATAAGCCACGTCTACACTAAATTTTATGGACTTTTTCACAATCCCACGATCAGTTGGTTTATCTCCAAGAGGATCTGTAAGTTCATGTGGCTCTATTGTCGTTGTTTTAATGGTCTATATTCAAAGTAAGAAGAAATAATTAATTAAAACAATCTTTATCTAAAAATAAAATAATTTTGAAATAACTTGCCGGTTGATCAATTGTCGTGATGTTCAAGTCTCCCATAAAGTTCTCAACATTATTAATCAATCTATAAAAAATATGTGATATTGTAATTATATTTTTTGTAATATCTTGTAATTGAGAGATATCTTTTATAAAATCCCTGATTTCTTCCATTACTTCAATAAATTTTACATAATCTATAATAAAATTGCCAGTAGTCTTAATGGTCTTAATAGCAATTTCAGCCATATCAACTCTATCCATTAATACATCGCAAATTTTTTTGTTATTTTGAGCTGCTTTATAAATTTTATTAATTTCGCGTATTTCTGTGTCAATTGTAGTAATCCAATACTTTTGTAATAATTCAATAGCTTCAGGATTATAAGCTAACACAGCTAATCTTAAATATTTCATGCCAAGTGGTACATTTTTAGTCACACCCAATTTACCATTAATATATAAATCGCCTAGATTAAATTGAGCCGTATTATTATTATTATCTGCAGATTTCGTAAGATATTCAATAAATACCGGTAAGTTAATTCCATTATTTTCAATTAAACTAAATGCATATCGTAACTGTGCATCTGCAAATCCGTCATCAGCAGCTGCTTTAAATAATTTTGATGCTTCTTCTTGATCTTTTTGATCAGAAGAGTTTTCCCATAAATAATATCCTTTCCAATATTTGGCTTTGGTATTACCCAACTCTGCGTGTGCATTAAAACATTCCCATGCTGTCGCATAGTCGCTTCTTCTATAAGCTTTAATACCTTCCTCAAGTGACATTATTTCTTGCACAGCACTAATAGAGAATTCCATATCAAAATCTGGCAAATCTAACCCTCCTATATCGCTAACGGAAACTGCTTTTGATCCATCCAAATCTAAAGGTTTAAGGGCAAGTGAAGTATTGTACCCTGAAGAGCAATGTGTTGTATATAAGTCGTGTAAATTCAAGAAAATTTGTTGTAATGAAGCTCGAATTTGAGGATCATCTTGCCAAGCTAATTGAGGTCAAAAAATTTATAATTTTACAAATTTGCATCAAAATATTAATATAAATATATATATATGGATCTCTTACCCGAAACGATAATTTTCGCATAACTTTTTTGGAGGTTTTGAATATCAGGATTTTCTCCACCAAAAGTAATCTTTTCTCGTTTGTTAGACAAAACATGTTCTTTTATTTTAGCCATGTCCCAACGTTCATAGGGAATCTTTTCAAATGCCAATTCCCAAAGTAGCATTCCAAAACTTTTTTTTTTTTTAAAAGTAAGAAAATTTTAATAATTTTAACCTAATAACAATAGAAATAAACAATTGTAATATTCTCACCTGAAAACTTCGCATTTCATGTTATATCGCTGATTACCACCATTTCTCAATCTCTCGGAAGCAAGCCAATGCACAATTTCAGATGTATCAAAAATAAAACTTGTGTCATCATTATCATAAACACGTGTAAATCCAAATTTTGCAATTTTAGGTTCCAAACGCGAAGTCATCATAATGTTTTCACAACGGATGTCGTGATGAAGCACGGAGCAGGAATGTAAGAAAATGATTCCGCGACAGATACCAAGAGCAATAGATACCTTAATAAATGATAAAAGTTGAATTAAAAAAAAATTATAATAATAAAAAATCATAATTATAAACCTTTGCAACCCAAGAGATTTCGTATGTATTATAAACTTCGCGTAGGTTTCCATGTTCGGCCCATTCAAATACCATGACCGGGTGACTTTCGACATAAGAGAATCCATAAAATTTCAAAATGTTGGGAGAATCTTGAAGTTTTCCTAAAATAGATAGTTGAGCTTGAAACCATTGAGCTTTCTGGGAATTATCATCTTGTAATTTAGTTGGAATACAAGCGACGTCTATACTCTGCTTTAAGCATTTCCTTAAAGTATAAGGTTCCTCTTTCCCACGACGATCAGATGCCTTCCCTCCAAGGGGTTCAGTAAGCTCATTTGGTTCTATTTTGTTTGCTTTAATAGACTCAGGTATCGGTAGATATCTTTTTTGAGTGCTTTCTATTTGATTCTTAATTAATATGACTTCTTGGAGAACTGTATTAATTTGGTTATTATCAGAAACAATACCACCTCCAATCCTTTCCAAAAACTATATTAAAAAAAAGAATTATATTTTATTTTAAAAAAAAAAAAAAAAATGTCCACAGTTTTATAGAATAACTTACTCTGGACATTTCGACTATATCTTCATTAAGAGCCTTCCGGTCAATTTTACGCTGTTCTCCATTGTCAATTGTCGTTGTGAAATTCAAAACGTCTATAATGATATCAAAATCGTATACTAAATCATTAAAGGTATCTTTAATAGAACAGGAGTGTAAGAATTTATTGTAACCCTTTAGTTGGGAGACATCTATAATAAAGTTTTTAATTCTTTTCATGATTTCAATCAATTTTATAAAAGCTAAATAATATTCTTTATTACGAAGAAGATTTTCCTTCCATTTTCTTCTCTTTAATATATAATCAACTATTTGAACTCTATCCATTAAAGCATTACAAATCTTTTTGTTATATTCAATATCTTCATAAATCCAAAAAATTTTATCAATTATGGTTGTAACAATCGCAATATATGGTATATAAGGTTTAACGGCTTCTCCTAAAGCTCCTACAGTCTCTAAAGTTCTTTGATTTTCCATAGCTCCTTCGGTTCCTTCAGTTCGTATAGTATCTACATTTGCTTCGGTACCTACAACTCCAACAGCACAGTCAGTCATCATAGTCTTTACGGTTACATCGGTACTTACAACTTCTACGGCAACTTCAGTTCTTTGCGTATCAACAGCTCTCTCAGATCCCATAGTCTCTGCGGTTTTATCGGTTCCTTGATTACCCATAGTCTTGGTTCCTTCGGTTTCTACAATTTCTTCGGCTTCAAGAGCTGCCTTTTATTAATCAAAGAAAAGAATTATAAAATATTGATAAAGTTATAGAATTATGAATAAAAATTTACCTTCGCCATTTCGGAAGAATCTTCAGTAAGGGCTAGTTGATCAATTCTGCGTTGCTCTTTATCGGTGAAATTCAAATCCTTCATCACGGACTCAAAATCACTAACTAAACCATTAAATTCATAGAATTTTTTGTAAAATAGTAATTTGGAGACATCTTTAATAAAATCTCTAATTTCTTTCATGACATTAGTAAACCTTGCAAAAGCCAAATAATATTTCATGTTGCGAAAATTTTTTTCGTTCTCTTGTTTCCTTCTGCTTAAAATTTTAATAAAAATTTCAGCAATATAAACTCTATCCATCAAAAAACTACAAATTTTTTTATTATTAGATTCCACACCATCATAAATTTTGATAATATCATCAATTAAAGTTGTAACAACCGCGATTAATTGTAAATATGGTTTAATGGCTTCTTCTACGGTTCCCGAAGCTTTAAAAGAGGTCTTTGTAATTTCGATACTTTTGGAAATTTCTGCTCCAAAAATAAATTCTGACATCCTTATCTTTTTTTGGTTATTAATTATTTAAAAAATACAAGTGGGCTGGGCATTTATTTTATCAATTTTTTTTTTTGGTGTGACATTTATAATAATCAAATACCTAAAAAGGTTAACAAGCTAAAGTGAAACATACATATGAAACAAGATCATCTGATACAAGTTAGAAATGCTTAACATTAGGTGTGATAAGAGTAGATAAAATTTTATTTTTATAATATGGCAAGTTCATGATTATGTTTATGTTATTTATTTTTGAGACAGAAGATTTAAGACAGACTTTGATGGTAGGAATGATTCAAATTGCTTATAAGAAAGAATAATACCATAGTAGAATTATTAAGTTAGAAATGTAATTGGTACAATCTTGAGCTATTCTTTTCGCCAGATTGGTAGCAGAGCAGAGTAGTTGTTTTAAACTAGTAAGATACGTGATGATTTTTAAATATTCATCATGAATTTAAAAATGTACAAAAACAGAATAGCAAAATTTACGATTTATACACATAAAAAAAAAAAAGGGTTAGCAGAAATGCATGATGTTATCTATCCTAACACCTTCTTTGATATTTTTTTTGCTATTGAATTGATGCATATGCAACGCATTTAACTGCGTACATACCAAATATGTTGAAATCACTTTTATTTAGAAAATTTATAAAGCAGAAACTACGTCCCCTCAATCACAGATTTCAGCATTCAAAAAACGAAAAATAAATTTATTGTATTAGCTGTTTCGTTCAAATTTTTTTTTTACTTGCATGAACTGGACATTTAGATATTTTTTTATTGTATGAACTTGGAATCAGTAAGTATGTCCGCATCATGATGTAAAATTTGGCAGTTTCGATGATCAACCTAAGGAGTATTTTCCACTTATATTTTGACTTGTCAACAAACTCTGTAAATAATCGAAGTTAATCCTTAATAATTCCAAATGAAGATGTCATTAGTGTCATTGTTTCAATCGCTTCACCAACACCGCTACTTCACATATCGATCATCATCACCATTAAGCTCAACCATAGAATTCGAAACCTCTTCAATAGTAGATAATTTAACTGTGTGCTTATTTATTCCAACAATAAAATATGAAAAACATACCCGCATAATAAATTCCATTGGTAGTACAACACTTTCGCTAAATTTCTAATAACAGTAAAAGTATCTATTAACTAATGATTTCAACCTGACCTGATAGTGTTATGGTATCAACCCACGGCAATTTTAAAATTAAAATCATATTTTATTAACACTATTTAACAATATATACAGTTCATGTCATATAGTTTTAAATAAAAAAAATTGGGACAGGAGAATCACTGAGTAAATAAAGTAAAGTTTTTTTGTGATTTTTATTATGTAATTATGTAAAAAAAAAAAATAATAATTAGTTATTATAATGATTATGATTACTACTAATATTTAAAGTAATGATAAATACCATACCAATAAAAATCAAAGAACCTATGCAGCAAGCAACGAAAATCCTATAATTACCGATCTAGCCTAAAAAAAAAAAAAATAGTGAGAATAATAATAAAATTAAAGAACCATGTATTAAAAATAATTTTAGTCATCTGTATTTCGCCACCGATCAAAAATTTCTTCGAGATCCGGTCTGATCTAACCTAAAACCGCCTAAGAAAAAAAAAAAATAAAACAAAACAATCAAATAAATAAATAAAATAAATAAAATTAGTAATCAGAACTAATTACCAAAATAAGAAAAAGAAAAAAAAATAAATAAATATTAGTCAGCTTACCTTCGCCACGGTCACGAAATGGACGGTTCCGTTCGAAGTTACGTCCAGTTCTTGGCCTACGAGAGGGAACTGATCTAACCAAATATAAAAAAAATTAATAAAAATAAAAAAAAAAAAAATTATTCAATAATTAATCAGCCTACCTTCGTCGCGATGACGAACTGGACCGTTCTGTTCGAAATCAAGCTTATACAGCAATGGGAACATGTTGAAATAATAAATTTAGATAAAAATTCATTAATAGTAGATCCAGATGTAATTGAAGAATATTCTCGTTTGAAACAAAAAGCATCACAACCACTTCCAATTTAATAAAACATCATAATCTTTACATATACAATATATATACCAGCAAAATTAATAATGATATTTATAAAAATTAAATAAAATACATGTACTTTCAAATATTAAGCCGGCCCCTGGTCAGCCATGACCATGAACCTAGTTGATTAAAATTAAAAAAATGCGCAAGCTAAAAATTGTAATTTTGAAAATTCATCCGTGGTATTCAATTTATAGAGTCTGCATGATGTTTTGAAAAGAATATCGAGACTATATAAGTATATTCTTGTCATCTTCATTTTTATGGGGGGTCAATGGTATATTATATTCGTTTAATTTTAATTAAAATTATTTAAAAATTATATAAAAAAAGAATAAAAAAATACACTCTATTTATAAAAAAAAAAAAATGATTAAAGTTTTATTCTTAATAAACTATGCAATTGTAATAAAATGACTACAAATCTGTATGAAACTTGTACAATTTTTTGCCGATGGGTCGTTTAATAAGGATTGAAACCAAAAATGAACTTCTATAAAATTTTTGGAAACTTTATATTTTACTATATATTTGATTCAGATATTGTATGTTTAACGGTTATTTTGCGAAAGTTGAAAATTATTTTTCTATTTCAGTTATTTTCAGACCAATTTCAAACCAACTATTATTTAATATTTTTTTTTCATTTTTTTGTTTTTAAAAATTATTTATATTTATATAAAGTTATAGTTGCGTGGCAAAACCCTAAACCCATTTGGCAAAAGTCGAAACTTTTCAGAAATTATTTCGACGATTTCGATGAGTTTCGACAGTTTCGATGGGTTTCGACAGGTTTCAACGGGTTTCGATGGGTCTCAAAAGTTACGACAGTTTCGATAACAACTTTGCGAATTTGACGGTTTAACAAGTTTATTGTAATACAATGTAGGATATAAAAAACGATTTTTATTTTTTTTGATTTTTATTTTAAATTAGAACAAAGTTTTCAAAATAATACATTATTTTTCGAACAGGTTTTGAAATTAGAAGCACTGTTACTTGTTGAAGAATTAGAAAAAATTACCTTATGAATAAAATGATAGTTGGAACCGGGTTTATTTTATATCCGGATTTATTTAATTTTAAAAATAGGATCCGGATTTAAATCCGAATATCAATCTCTATACACCCTGCGGATATCTGGGTTAAATCAGAATGTCGAATCCGGTTCCAACCTTTAGATGATTTTAATGAAATTTTAATGGATAAAGTAGAAGAAAATAAGAATATTGTCATGAGTTTAAATGAAGAAAATATGGGATATTATAAAAGAAAGTGATCTTTCGTTAAACGAAAATAATAAAATTTTAAATTCAAAAATTTGTATTTAGTATCAGAAGGTTTCGATGGGTTTTGCCGTCCGTCGAAACTTTTGCTACCCGTCGAAACTTTCGCAATTTTGCCTTTAATAAAAATATTTGGCAAAACGTTTCGACGGGTTTCGATTTCGATGC